CAAACATAGGGTGAGATCTCTAAACAAGAAATCTCAGTAAGACAAGAGGTCCTCAAGGATCTTCCACCCCAAGCTCACTTACATGTGCAATATAAGTTCTAAAAGCATTTATATCATAATCAGTTCCAAAACTATGTAGTGCAACAGATATCTATGGCATGTGTGTAATCACTATCTACTGGCCAGAGAAATGTAGGAATACGTCTATTCCTTACATGTAGTACAAGGAACACCGCTTGCACTTCACCCACAGCCTCACCCTATTGTATGTTCTACATACTCAGGCTTACCGCATAGGTGGAACACCTCCATGCATATCAACAAGGCACTAGCATACAATAGCTCAACAGCATTTCCAAAACATCAAAAGCATGTAACACAGCATGCATATACCATACCCCCATGGGACATGGTGGAACCACAACATGGCTAAACCGAGGACACGAAAGCTTACCTCTAAGCTAGCTATCGAATGCCACAAGCTCAAAGTCCAATCACAACAGATCACAATCTGGTATGGACCAAATATAAATCAATAAACATGTACCACATGCATACAAATTAAAGACAACGCCTTTTCATTATGTTTTATGTCTTAAAGCTTCTAACAAAGCCACAAGCCCTTAATCACATGATTCTGACTTAGTCCATTAATCACAGAAGTTCAACTTCATCAATCTAGGGTCCACAAACCCCCAATAGCCTACTGTACACACAACACAGCTACTGTTCTGCGAAATCTCAGAATATCCGGATATTCCTCGGGACTATATCCGGATATGCAATATCCGGATATCTTACTGTCCATATCCGGATATGTAATATCCGGATATACATATTCCAAAATCCGGATATCCAATATCAAGATATCCTGAAACCCCATATCCGGATGTCATATCCGGATATCATATCCGGATATCCAATATCTGGATATTCCACGGGCAGATATCCAGATATTTCACGACAGAATGCAGAAACTGCATTTCGTGAAGATATCCTTCCAAGGTTGGGTTTTTACCGATTAAAGACCCTTAAACATGCATTTCTAGGTGTGTTAAGTATTACCCAACAACAAGTTATCATCATTTAGCCTTAACATGCATCAAGCTTCCATTTTTAAGCCTTAAAACTCAAGTTAAAGGTTGGTGATCATACCACAACTCAAAAACAGAGGATGGAGATGCTCTTGGAGCTCAACACAGCCCCTCAAGTCTGACTCAAAGATGTGCACGAAAATGTACCACAAGATGAGTCTTTTCTTCACAAAGATTGCTCCTTGGAGCAATGACAAAGCAAGAACAAAGCCCCTCAACACTCTAGTCAACAAGACAGCCCTCAAGGTACTCCAAGACAGCCTCCAAACTCAAAAAAATAGCTGGTCACAACCCTCACAAAGCTCACCATCACCCCAACCAAGTGTTTACAAACTCAAAGATGGAAGAAATCAAGTAAAGGTGATACCTGGGTCAAGAAAATGGAGAAGAAACCAAGAGGCACTATTCTGGTCAGTCACTCCTTTCTCCAGCCATGCACAAAGTAGTTATCTAGTGTTGTGTGCCCTTAAAAGCCATATATATATACACTTACTCATTAAACACGCAGTATTAACTTTAATTGCTACGCTTAGCATTTTGATCTCAAACTTTGGATTCTGAAACCACACATTTTTCCAAGAATTATCATATTTTTATTATATTTTTCTGAGCACCTTTCCGATACGCGCTTTTCAAAGCCAGTACTGGTTTCTAGCACCAGTTCTCATTATTTGGACTTGAAACTCGTTTTACAGGTCCTATATATAATTCTAGTAATTATCATGCACTTATATTAATTTTCCGGGATACTTTTTCGGTACGCATTTATACCGACTAGCAGAACCGGTATCTGCACTTTTCTTCTGAAAAGCGACTTTCAGCATTCTTAATCACTTACCATAATTATTAAAGCCTCTTAATAATTATTAGGGTCAATTATGGAATCATTTCCTATTTTCACATAATTAATTAATTAAATACCTTAATTAATTGTGCAGGTTCTTACACTTTGACTGTTGAAGTGATGGCAGAGGCTCATAAAGGACAGTTTACTATCTGCCCTGGTGCTACAAAGATGTATCAGGATTTGAAGAGGAATTATTGGTGGCCGGGCATGAAGAAGGACATAGTTGTGTTTGTGTCTAAGTGTCTGATACGCCAGAAGGTAAAAACAGAACACCAGAAGCCGTTTGGTAAACTTCAACCTCTTGAGATTCCGGAATGGAAATGGGATAGCATTTCCATGGACTTCGTGGTGGGATTGCCGAAGACTCAGGCTGGTTGCGACTCTATCTGGGTGATCGTGGACATATTGACCAAGTCTACCCACTTTCTTCCGGTGAAGGTGAGCTTCACTACTGAGCAGTTGGCCAGACTTTATGTTCGCGAGATTATAAGACTTCACGGGGTTCCCGAGAGTATCATCAGTGATAGGGACCCAAAGTTCACATCTCGGATCAGGGAGGCGCTGCAGGAGGCTTTTGGTACGCAGTTGAGACTGAGTACAACATATCACCCTCAGACTGACGGATAGACTGAGCGAAGCATCCAGACCTTGGAGGACATGTTCAGGGCTTTCACCTTGGAGCAGGGCTCAGCATATAGGTACCTGCCATTGGTGGAGTTTTCTTATAACAACAGTTTCCATGCTAGCCTGGGCATGGAACTCTACGAGGCGTTGTATGGCAGGAGGTGTCAGACTCCTACCTGTTGGTCCGAGGTTGGAGATAAGGAGTTGTTTGGCTTGGACTTTGTCCAAGATACCACCCTGCAGATCCAGTTGATTAGGGAAAAGCTGAAGCAGGCGCAGAACCGCCAGAAGAGCTACTACGATGTCAAGCATTGTCCACTGGAGTTCAGTGAGGGTGAGCACGTGTTTGTGAGACTTTCACCTATCACCGGTGTTGGTCGGGCACTCAGAGTGAGGAAGCTGAGCTCGAGATTCATTGGGTCATACCAGATCCTTGGTAGAGTAAGACCTGTTGCCTACCGGATTGCCTTACCTCCGAACTTGGCCAACATCCACGACGTGTTTCACATGTCACAGCTTCAGAAGTACATAGCAGATCGCTCGCACGTGGTGCAATCGGATGATGTGGAAGTTCGAGAGAAATTGAAAACTCCCGTCGGACCACTCAAGATTCTCGATCGTGGCGAGAAGAAGCTGAGGAGCAAGATTATTCCGATGGTCAAAGTGCAGTGGACAGGAAGAACTTCTGAGGAGTGTACTTGGGAGCGAGAGGACGAGCTTCTCCGGCAGTACCCCGATTTTCGGGACAGGTATGTTTCTGATTTCGAGGACAAAATCCTAAAAAAATAGGGTGAATGTAAGAACATGCACCGTTAATTAAGGAAGTTAATTAATTAATTATGAGAAATTAGAAAATAATTCCATAATTGACTCTAATAATTATGAGAAGGCTTAAATAATTATGGTAAGTAATTAATATTGTTGAAAGTCGCTTTTCTGAAGAAAAGTGCAGATACCGGTTCTGCTACTCGGTATAAATGCGTACCAATGAAGTATCCCGAAAAATTATAATAATCATGGGAATATTCCTAGAATAATTTATGGGATTGGTAAAACGAGTTTCAAGTCGAAATAATGAGAACTGGTGCCAGAATTGATACTAGCTATGTAAAAGCGCGTACCAGAAAGGTGCTGCGAAAAATAATATAAAAATATGATAAATCTTAGAAAAATGGCTAGGTTTATAATCTAAAGTTTGAGATTAAAATGCTAAGCGTAGCTGTTATTGTTAATACTATGTGTTTAAAACTTAAGTGCCTATATATACACATTTTGCACAAAACCCTAGGAATTTTCTAAGTGCTACATGACTTGTGGAGGCTGACCAACCTTTGGCACTGTTCCATTGCTTGCTTCCCTTCACCTTGAGAGCCAAGTGGCCATTCTCTTCCTTGTCTCTTCTTTGAATCATCATAGATTTTGAGAGTAAACCTTGTGAGGTTGGGAGCCACCCTATTCTGAGTTGTTGCAGCCTCTAGGTTGAGTGTGGGAAGGCTAAGTTCACTATTTTGTGGGCTGAGTTTGTCTTCCTTCTTGGTGTGAGCCATTTCCTTGTCTTTGGAGGCTTCAAATAACCACCTTTGAGTAGAAAGGGCCAAGCTTTGGTGTATTTTCGTATCTTGGTAAAGGCGTAATCAAGGGAGTAATCAACTGAGTAATCAAGGGAGTAATCAAGGGAATAATCAAGGGAGTAATCAAGGGAGTAATCAACCGCAATCAAATCAGCCGGTTATGATTGATAATCAATCAAATTCTCGTTACGCTGCTTTAATGGGCTCTAATGAAGATGATATTACTCATGATATCCTAGCGACTAATCCAGATGCTGTTATAAATGACGTCAATATGGTGGGCCCTCCTGTTAATATTGATATTAGTACATCTCAAGGGTCCAAACACAGAAACCCTAGAAGTCGTCCTAATGTTGAATTACAGGAACACCCCAATCGATTTACATTAAGTGGGATTACGACAGGTCATGAAAAAGAGAATCAAATAAATGGGAAGATAGTTGACAGAGGTACCTCAAACAATAATACAGCGAACTTGAGGAGGCAAGTTGCGATTCATACTAGTAAGGACATTGGAGGTAAAAGCGGTGGAGATTCCATGGTGGCTAGGAATACTGTTGCTGATTATAACAAAGATTGTTATCAAATGGAGGTGGATAAGGATGGTCAAAATATCAACGACTTAGATCATGGCTTGTCCCAACCAAAAGCGCCTGATCCAAGTAGAGATAAAGGAAAGTCTATCCCAATAAACCATAAGCTCAATATTGAGGTGGAGATGATTTCAAAATCTGAAACTCAGTGCAATGACAATGGGATGGCAGTGGACCCACAAACCTACCAAATTACCATTGATTAATGTCTTTAGTTACATGGAATTGTCGCGGGGCGGCTAAAAAGTGCTTCAAATCAACGTTTCAAATGATGGTTCGAAGGCATAAGGTTGAGGTGGCAGCTATTCTTGAACCTCAAGTAAGTGGTTCAAAAGCAAAACAGATAATAAAAAGCTGGGTTTTAATAATTCAATAGTGGAGGATGCTCATGGATTTACAGGAGGTCTTTGGTTACTATGGAATAATGATAGGTGTCAGGTTCAAGCATTAAAACAGACCCATCAATTTATTCATGTTCGTGTTACATTGGCAGATCTTCAAGCTTTTCTTTATACTCTAGAGAAGAAATTCAGAAGAGACTTTGGGATGATTTACTTCAGTTATCAGAAGATATCTCGGTTCCTTGGTTAATTGCAGGTGATTTTAATGAAATTGTCTTTCCAAGTGAGAAACATGGTGGTGCTCCAGTTGATACTAGCAGATGTAATAAATTTTCTTCTTTTCTAACTGATATAAAGATGATTGATCTTGAAGGAATAGGTTCTAAATTTACATGGCGAGGACCAAGATTTCTTCATTTAGATAGAGTCTTTAAACGTTTAGGTCAAGCTTGTAGCAATGCTGAATGGAGGTTGATGTTTCATGAAGGCCAGGTTCGAGTGCTTCCTCATATTAACAGTGACCATAATCCTATCCTTATTACCTTAGAGCCAAGCAAAGTTGATGGGGTGGAACGCCCTTTCCGTTTTCATTCTTTTTGGTTGGATCATCAATTTTTTTAATAATTTCATCAAGGAAAACTGGCGTCAGGATCAAAGAACAGTTGATAGTCTTCGTGATTTCACTCCTCTTATTAAGTAGTGGAATAAAGATGTGTTTGGTAATATCCATCATAAGAAGAACAGGTTGATTGGTAGGCTTGAAGGTATCCAGACGGCAATTTCTGAGCAGAATAAAAGCCATTTGGAAAAGATTGAAGGCAAGATAAAGGGTGAACTTGAACAAGTTTTAGAACAGGAGGAGCTTTTGTGGTTTGAAAAGTCTCGTGCGACGTAGGAATACGAAGTACTATCATACAAAAACAATTGTTAGACGTAGAAGGAGCAAGATCTTGGAGTTGAAAGATGATGTTGGAAACTTGATTAGAGAAGATCACAACATTGCACGGGTAATAAATGCTTACTTCTCTAAACTATTTTCTGAAGAAAACCATGATCGTCCTTGGGTCCAGACTCTTTGGCCAAAGGTGGACGATGAGACTGCTGTTAACTTAGGTGCTCCAATTTCAAAAGATGAAGTCAGACGAGCTTTCTTTTCTATGAAAGATTCGAAAGCTCCAGGGGAGGATGGCTATACCGCGGCATTCTACAAAAAGAACTGGGAATTTATTGGTGAACAGATTTGGAGAGATATCAAGTATTATGCAGAAAACCCTTCCAGCATTGAGGAAGTCAACGGTACTCTGATCACTTTGATCCCCAAAGTTCCTAAGCCAATGTATGTTTCTCAATTCAGGCCTATTTCTTTGTGTAATGTCATTTATAAGGGTATGAGCAAGATCATTGTGGATATGCTTAAGCTTACAATGGAGAATTTAGTTTCTCCTTACCAAGATAGCTTCGTGCCAAATCGTCAGCTTCAGAATAATATCATAGTAGCAAAAGAGCCGGTTCATTCTATGGGGAGAGTAAAAGGAAAGAAAGGTACAATGGCAATCAAACTGGACCTTGAAAAAGCTTATGATAAACTCAGTTAAAGTTTTATCTATAAAGTGCTTATTGAAGTTCAGTTTCCTGATTGGATGATTGGTGTTATAATGGCTTCTATAACTTCTAATCGTTCGAGGGTCTTGATAAATGGTGTGGCTTCGGATTGCATAGTTCCTCAGAGAGGATTTCGTCAAGGGGATCCAATCTCTCCTTATATTTTTGTCTTGTTTGTTGAGAAGCTTTCCCACTTGATCGCTGAAAAAGTGACTATGGGTTCGTGGAAGCCTATTAGAGTCTGCAGAAGAGGGCCGAGTGTATCCCACCTTTTATTTGCAGATGATATCATTCTCTTTGCGCAAGCAGATATGGAGCAAGCTAAGGTGATTATGGATTGTATTAATCTCTTTTGTGAGATGTCGGGGCAAAGTGTTAGTGCAAATAAATCTTTGATTTATTTTTCCCCGAATACTGATACTCTAGTTGCTACAAGGATTGTCAACAGAATGGGCTTTAAGCGCATTTCTAGTATTGGCAGATATTTAGGCTCTATTGTTAAACAAGGGAGATATATTAAAGCAGACTATGGAGCTATCAAGGATAGGATACGTTCAAAACTGGATGGTTGGAAAAGTCATTGCCTTTCTTTTGCTGGTCGACTTACTTTGGTGAAATCGGTCATTGCTGCAATCCCTTCTCTCCATATGCAGAATGGTCTTTTACCAGTAATGTTTTGTGATGAAATTGAGCAGATACAAAGGGCTTTCATTTGGGGAGATCAGGATAGCAGAAGGCGGGCTCATTTAGTAGCTTGGGATCAAATGTATAAACCCAAAGATAGAGGTGGTTTGGGAATAATTAATCTTCGACTCCAAAATGAAGCTTATATTCATAAACTGGCGTGGAAGGTGTTAACTAAAAAAGATGATTTATGGGTTAAGATTTTAGTAGCCAAGTATGGTAGAGGTCAAGACTTAAGGAGAGGTATAAAGGCAAAATCATATGACTCTAAACTTTGGCGTGATCTTGCTAAATGTTGGAGTAATTTCCTTGCTGGTCTTAGATGGGAAATAACAGATGGTTCTGAAGTAAAGATTTGGACTGATAACTGGTTGGGATGTGAGGAAAATTTGCAGCAGTTGTCGAGCAATCAGGTGCCGTGGGAGGAGAGTCAGAAATCAATTGCAGATTACATGGTGGATGATGGTTTCCATCTTAAAGCTGTTCATCAATTTCTGGAGTCAGATTTGGCTGATGCAGTAAAAAATTATCTCAGGCTTATTCCAAGGAATGGGGGGGATAAATTAGTTTGGATCAATAATCATCACTCAACTTCTTTGGTTAAGGTCGCTTACTGTAATCTTATGAACTTCCCAGCAGATGTTCACACTAGTTTATGGAAAAAAGTTTGGTCGTGGAATGGACCAGAACGGGTGAAAGTGTTTATGTGGATGACTTTGCTTGCTAAACTTTCAGTGCGCAGCAGAACCAGTAAGTGGAGCGGAGGTTCAAATGTCTGTCCCAGTTGTCCAAATCATGAGGAAACTATTATTCATGTTCTTCGTGATTGTAGACATGCTAGGAAAATTTGGCAATCTTGGTTTACAGGTTCGATACCCAATTCCTTTATGAATTCGAATTTGCAGGATTGGTTGACTTTAAATATCGATAACATGTGGTCCTCCAATAAAGTGAAGGACTAGAAGGATATTTTCTTTACTACTTGTTGGTTTTTGTGGAAGTGGAGAAATTTGGAGATCCATGAAGATCATTTCTGTCATGATGAGCAATCGCAGGCTTCAATTTGGATGTTTTGTCCAACAGATTCTGCAAGCCCGAATTTATCAGCGCCGTGGTGATTCCAACGATAGTGTTTGGGCAGCCCCCAAGCAAGGGTGGGTTAAGTTGAATTGTGATGGAGCTTCTTCTAGTAGCATGAAAAAAGCTAGTTGTGGTGGTATATTAAGAGATCACAATGGATCCTTTTTGGGAAGCTTCTATTGTAATTTAGGTTCATGCAATCCTCTTGATGCAGAATTATGCGGATTACTGAAAGGTTTGGAACTACTTTGGGGAACAGGATTAAAAAGAATAGAGCTAGAATGTGATTCTAGCCAAGCCATCCAGATGTTAAAGGAGCAGCATGAAGATCCTAGGGACTCTCAAGTCACTAGTAGATTGAGATTATGGTTAAAAGCGGATTGGACTATTCATCTTGTTCATACCAAGAGAGAAAACAACAAATGTGCTCATTGGTTAGCTAAAGCTGGGCAGACTAATAATCTTCATTTCAAGATTTTTAAAGATCCTTCTCCTCAGTTGATGGAACTTATAGTTGCTGATGCTAGAAATATGTCTAGCTTGTTAGTTTCTGATTTGTAATTTCTTTCTGTTTCTGGGGCTTAGCCCCTCTTTATTTACAAAAAAAAAAGTCAGAACCTTGGTGTGTAGTTGGAGACTTCTATTCTGCCTCATTTCCTGAGTTTTGAGCATTGGAGGTGAGCCATGATCACCTCTTTGTCATTTTGATGTTTTTAAGCTTGTTTAATCGGTTAAAAAGTAAAACTTGGATCATTTGAGTAAAAGAATGTGTTTCTAAGTTCATAACTTGTTAATGAATATCTTTTTGTGGAGTTATTGGACTCCAAATCACGTTTGGACCCTTAAAAATGGGATTATGCAGATGTCTGTTCGAAATTTTGCATTCTGATGGATAAGTATTCGAATACTTTTCGGGTAGTATTCAAATACTTGTCCTTTGGTAATCGAATACTCCTTGCTGGAGTATTGAGATACTTTTCTGGGAAGAAAAGTATTCGGATACCTTGAACAAGTATTCGAATACCGAGAAGTATTCGAATACTTGGGTGCTGGTATTCGAATACCATGTGGTATTCGAATACTTTAGTGAAAGTAATCAAATACTTTCTGGAGGCATGAAGTATTCGAATACTCATCGGGGAGTATCGAATACCTCCTGCAGAAACTGCCTAAAATGACTTAAAATGAGATGGAAAGCCTTAATCACTTAATGTAACCTTGGTAAATGGCTATTGATGATTATTCACTGTATAAACAGATTGCGATTGTGCTGTTTGTGGTCTTTGAGCTAGTGTGGACTCTAGGCTTGGATAGTTAGCTTGCAAGGTAAGCTTTCGTTTCATTGGTTTAGCCATTGTTGGTTCCACCATGTCCATGGGGAGATGATTTATATGCATGATGTGTTTTCATGTATTGTTTTATTGAAATGTTATTGAGCTGTTAAGTGCAAATGCCTTACGATATGTATGTGGTGTTCGCCTAGACGGGATGTGATCTTGTGGGCAGGTACGACATGGGCGCGTACTGTAAGAACTCGCACCGTTAATTAAGGAAGTTAATTAATTAATTATGAAAAATTAGGAAATAATTCCATAATTGACCCTAATAATTATTATGAGGCTTAAATAAATATAGTAAGTGAGTAATAATACTGAAAGTCGCTTTTCTGACGAAAAGTGCAGATACCGGTTCTGCTACTCGGTATAAATGCGTACCGATGAAGTATCCCAGAATATTATAATAAGTGCATGAATATTCCTAGAATATTATATAGGACTGGTAAAACAAGTTTCAGGTTAAAATAATGAGAACTAGTTCCAGAACTGATACTGGCTATGGAAAAGCGCATACCAGAAAGGTGCTGCGAAAAATATGATAAATCTTAGAAAAATGAGTAGGTTCATAATCCTAAGTTTGGGATTAAAATGATAAGCATAGCTATTTGCGCTAATACAGTGCGATTAACCTTAAATCGCTTATATATTAAATGGCACAGATTTTTAGGGCATTATTCAGCCTCCTACGTGCCTCCATTCTGAGTTTCATACTCCCATGTTGGTCACCTTCTTTCCTTGTGAGAAAAACCAACAAAACTCCTCCTTTTCTTGTTCCCTTCTCCTTTGATGAGCAAACACTTGGGTGTGTGATTGAGAGGGTTAAAGGTACTTCTTGCTGAGTTGGGGTTGCTGCGAGAGGGGTTGTTGTTGCTGCCTCTGAGTTTGGTGAGTGTGTGCACCTTTGGCTTGGCATTTGTGGTGCCAAGGAGTCATCTTTGGTGCAAAGAACCAACCTTTGGTGTGCCATTTTTGTTTTCCTTGGGAAGTCAGAACCTTGGGAGCTTCAAGTGAGCTCCAAGAGCATCATTCACCTCTGTTTTGAGCTTGTGGTATGATCATCACCTTTGTTCTTGAGTTTAATGGTTAAATATGGAACCTTGATGCATGTAATGGATTAAAGTTGATAACTTAAGGTTGGGTAAGGTTAAACACACCTAGAAATGCATATATAAGCCTCTGTAATCGTGAAAAGACCACCTTTGGGAAGGATATCTCGCGAAATGCAGAACTGCATTCTATCACGAAATATCCGGATATGGATATTCGGATATGGATATCCGGATATGATATCCGGATGTGGATATCCGGATGTGGATATCCGGATGTGGATATCCGGATGTGGATATCCGGATATGGATATCCGGATATGGACCCGAAAAAATATCCGGATATTCTGGGTTTGTGTGAACAGTAACGGTATTGTTCATACAGAACTGAGTTATGGGTTTGTGGACCCTAGATTGATGAAGTGGGACTTCTGTAATAACTTACCTAAGTCAGAATCTAATTGATTAAGGGCTTGTGGCTTTGTGAGAAGCCTTAAGACATGAAACGTAAGAAAATGCGTTGTCTTTGTGTCTTATGCTTGTTGACGATGTTTATTGATATAGTTGTTGGTCCGAAACAGATTGTGATTCTGCTGTGTTTGGACTTTGAGCTTGTGTGGACTCTTAGCTTGGATAGCTAGCTTGCAAGGTAAGCTTTCGTGTCCTCGGTTTAGTCATTGTATGTTCCACCATGTCCCATGGGGGGATGGTTATAGGCATGATGTGTTTTCATGTACTGGTTTTATTGAAATGCTATGGAGCTGTTAAGTGCAAAATGCTTAGGATATGTATGTGGTGTTTCGCCTAGCCAGGAAACCATGAGGTGGTCCTGGGGGCGGGTACAACATGGGCTGGTACTGTGTGGGTATAACACACATGACATGATTATCTGCTGCATTGCACTGATTTTGGAACTGATATTGAATTACTGCTTTTAGAACTTATATTGCACATGTAAGTGAGCTTGGGGTGGAAGATCCTTGAGGACCCCTTGTCTTACTGAGATTTCTTTTTAGAGATCTCACCCCACATTTGGGGCACTATTTCAGGTTCAGGTAATGCGGGGGTTGAGACCTCTAGCGGCAGGAGGTTGGAGCTTAGCTGATTGCATGTTATTATGATGATTATGCTGGATGCTGACATTGCTTTATCTTTATTGTCATGTTATTTGATTTGACACTGTTGTTGGGCGTTGTTGCCTTATTTGGGGAGTATAGGGGTTGTCCATGCCACGTTGACTTGACTTTATGTTTTAGTTGTTTCAGTTGTAATTAATAATGTATCAGGATATTGTCCGGACTACGTGTTTTAGTTCTATGATGTAGATAGTCACATCTATGTTAGAGGTATTTCAGTTAGTTGTTGGATTGCAATCACATACAGGCGATATTTTGTAATTGAATTTTAATAATCAACTTGGTTAAGTATAATGACGTCATAATTGAAAGTAAAAAGTTATTCCGCAATTTTATATTAAGCGTGGCTTAATACGATGACATGTTAATAAACCGGGTTAACACGGGGTGTTACACGTACTGTGTGGGTAATAGAAGTATTCCCGCATCTCTCTGGCCAGTAGATTAGTTATAACACACATGACATGATTATCTGCTGCATTGCACTGTTTTGGAACTTATACTGTTAATTGTTTTTGGAACTTATATTGCACATGTAAGTGAGCTTGGGGTGGAAGATCCTTGAGGACCCCTTTCCTTACTGAGATTTCTGTTTAGAGATCTCACTCCACGTTTGGGACGCTTATTTCAGGTTCAGGTAACCCAGGGGATGAGACCTCTAGCAGCAGGAGGCCGGAGCTTAGCTGATATTTCTGCTTATGCTGATTATGTTTGGATGTTGGATTATGTTTGTTGCTGTTATGCTATTAGCTTCATATTATGGTTATTTGAGCTAAGGCTCTGTTGGCTGTTGCTTTATTTGGTAAGCATGGGAATTGTCCATGCCACATTGATTTGACTTTTGCTTTAGTTTTGAGTTGTATTAATGTATCAGGATATTGTTCGGACTACGAGTTGTAGCTCTGTGACTTAGATACTCACTTATATATTTATGAGGTTATTCAGTGCATCTAGTTATAATTGCAATTTACATACGGGCGATGTTTTTATGAAAGCGATTTAATAATCAACTTGGTTAATGATAATGACCTCATAATTGAAAAGAAAAAGATTTTTGGCATATTTTATTAAGCGTGGCTTAATACGATGACATGTTAAGAAATCGGGTATACACGAGGTGTTACTGAAAGCAATGACACAGTGCCAAGCTGATCAGCCCCTCCAAGAGTGTCACGTAGCAACTGATTTGGCCTAGGGTTTTTGGCCAAAATGAGTATATATAGGCGGTTTAAGTTTAAACACAATGTATTAACACTAATAGCTACGCTTAGCATTTTAATCCGAAACTTAGGATTCTGAACCTATGCATTTTTCTAAGATTTTTCATATTTTTATTTTATTTTTCGCAGTACCTCTTTGGTACGCGCTTTTGCATAGTCAGTATCAGTTCTGGCACCAGTTCTCATTATTTTGACCTGAAACTTGTTATGCTAGTCCTATATATTATTTTAGGAATATTCTCACACTTATTATAATTTTCTGGGATACTTCATCGGTACGCATTTATACCGTGGAGCAG